CGCTGAAGAAACACTTAACTCATTGATAATTACTACTTTTAAGACTGTCACACTGATCATTTCTTTTCATCTTCATAATTTACTTGCCAGACGGAACATTAAAAAGACTATTTTGTTAATCATTTCCCGAATACAAATCCAACGGTATTATGACACGCAAGAGTGAATTTCATTGACAAGCAGGATACAAAAAACAATCAAGAAAACATACGCCTACTCCAGGGAGCGTAATGAGCCTTGCACCTCAAAACGCATACTTATACATTAGCAAAAACTCAAAAGAAAAAAAAAAAAAAAAAAAAAAAACAACAACAACAACAAACAACCGTGGAATCGAAAAACAATATAAAACTAGTTTAAGTTGCGGTTAACTAAAGCAAAAAATCACACCAACCATGTCAGTCAGTCAAATAAACAAGTCAGTCCCTTACAAGCTGCTGAAATATGAACCTATACATGCACAGAGTATTAACTGAAACAATTAATTGACTCCTATAAGTTAATTGATTCCCGAAAGGGAAATTATTAGGAGATTAAGTAAAACCCTAATTTTAAGGAAGAAGAAGAAGAAGGAGGACTTACAGAGTGGGAGCAGAGGAGGAGGAGGCCGGACTGCTGCTAGGGTAGAGGGATGTCGGGACTGTAAATTGAGTAAAGGGTTTTTTTTTTTTTTTTTAATTTGACCAAAATAAAATCAAGCGTTTGACCGAAAAAAAAAGAAGTATGCGCTTTAGTGGGCTGGATGGGCTTCAGCCTACAAACTCAGATTTTCGGCTGGGCCCGTACATTACAGGGGGCCCCACCTCAACAACCCCCACTCCCGGCCGCCAGCAGCAGTAGAAAGAAATTATATGTTCTCCTCCAACTCCAACTCCAACTCCAACTCCTCTTTCCAGATTCCAGGTGCCCTTTGATTTACAGCGGTGGCGGAATCAGGTTCCTTCTCTTTTTCACTCACCCACTTCATTTCTTATTTACTATTTCTATTTTCTTTATTTTATTTATTTATAATTTGGGGTTTAGTTATTTTTCATGATGTTTGATATATTCGTGTACAAATTAAGACTTAAGACTGCTAGCTGAAGAAGAGCGGAAATAGGAGAGTGTGTGTGTGTGTGTGTTTATTGTCTTGAGATTTTGAGTTTGAAATTCTTTCAAGCGGTTGACCAAGATATAGTCAGATATGATATTTTCCTTTTTTTGGTTTCATATCTGACTCTTTTTTTTTTTTTCCTTTTTTTGAGTACGTTGATATTTTTTACACTAAGGAGAGGGGAGTTTGGTTAAGCTACACAATAGCCAATATCTAACCCTTTTAAGTAAAAGGAGAAATTAAATTCTCATCTCTCATATTTTTTATTTCATTAATTAAAACTTTATTCATTTTCAAATTTTTATCAAACATCCTTTGGTTTCTATCCACGTCACAATTTCAGTGATAATACAATCACATGCCAGCATAATTGAATTTTATAATTAATTTTTTTTATAAAAGGGTACAAATTATAAATAGGAATATATGAAAAAAAAATACTAAAAGATATATTTAAAAATGATTAATAAGTTTTTCATTTTTAAAATTTACATATGATGACATGTAAATAATTTTAATATTCAAATAATGACATGAAGATTAGTCAAGAGACCTTGATAAAATGAAAAAGAAATAAGGTTTCAATTAATGAGAAAGAAAAATGAGGGATGTGAACCTAATTTATCTCATGAAAAGGGGAGTTATAAATCTCATAATTTGTAACTTTCATAAAAAAATGAAAATAGCAATATATTACATTAATATTAATATGCTGAAGTAGACAAAATCAAAGAACTTTGATTAAAAACTAAAAACCGGTAAGGTTTTAGTCAAAGAACAGTGGTTATTAAAACAAACAAAAAAACAAAAAAAAAAAGGTCAAAGAAGAGTGGTGAGTAGGGACCGTATCCAAAGGCTCCTTTAAGTAAATACATGTATCGTAGCCAAGTCTAGTTGGGTTTCATTGAAACTTGTCAGTTTTAGTTTGAGTTGGGGGTTGAGGCTTTCATTAGGGCAATTGCCATTACATATGATACGATTTTTTTTTAGCAATTTCCACAACATCAAACTAAACATATTAAAATCAGTACCAATCCTGTCATCGCTCGCCGTTTTGTACTTGTATTCAACTTAGTCAGAACCGTCACCTCAGAAAGAAAAAAATCCAATGCTGAGGCCTCTTTATATGCTATGGAAAGTGGCTTCCGTTGATGAAAAGGGATCATCTGTATTTGTAGTTACTCATCTGTTCTGTTACAACACCCTCGATCGATGCAAATAAAATTCTCTTTTTATGATTTTAAACTCAAGTAGAAAAACAACATCTACGTCTTTCCCTACATGTCTGCCCTTTTGGTATTAGGATCAGTCATTAGGAGAAAGAAACCATTCAACTTAGAAAGCATGCTAACAAGATATTGATGTCGTGTTTGATCTTTGTTTCCTGTTAGATATTTGTATATTTGTATCTTGGTATTTTGTATGAGCTTTTCACTTCATTTTCCATTAATGTTGAAGGTTGAAGGTAGACAGGGTATCCCTTTTTATCTTCTACTGCTCGTCCTCCCTCTTTCTCTCTTTCGTTTCTAAGATTCGTGTCTTTGTTTTGGTCATTGGGTGCATTTCCTGACTCAATTGGCCATGGACAAATGGATGGAGCAACTGCCCATTTCATTGTAAGGTAGCATACAGTTGCAAGCACATGGTTCGTTAACCATAGACAGGTCACTTTTGGCTTTGGGTTAGTATGCAAGGGGTTCAACAATTTGACCATTTGATTGTAAGGTAGTATGGAAGCACATAGTTCATTAATGGACGAGTCACTTTTGGCTTTGGGTTAGTATGTAAGTGGCTGTTCAGATATGACCAGCCTTATGTTGTAGCAATGTGGATTTGATAAGTCAGAGTTGCGGTGGAGGTGTTTGGGTGAGGCCTGTGAAGGACTCGGCTGATCATATGATAAAGTACATTATACAAACCGCCTTAAAATGAAGGGTATTTGCTAGAAGTGTCTATTGTCATGTTTTTTAAAACCCTTTAAAGTTGATCCATATGAATTTTTTTGAATCTTTTGATATAGTAAATGTCTTCTTATTTAAAGTGGAAGAAAGACAAAAGAAGAAATTTAACTAGAGGAAACTAGAATAAAATCAAGGGGTTTGCTATTCACACACCCCTTTTTACTTCTCACACACCATTTGTTAATTTCTGCCATTTGATGTTCTTTAATTCAGTCGATCCGACGGCCGCAAATTAAAAGGGTGTGTATGAAGTAAAAAGGTGTGTGTGGATATCACACCCCTAAAATCAACTTGAATGAGGTGGAAGTTGCAATTGCGGATTTAGTTTCCACTTGCAACAAATGGTTATTAAGTAATTTTTCTTGACATGGCAGGTCAGAGCGCGTGCTTGTAGAAATTAAAAGAAATAATCCTGTTCATTAGTTGGAGAATTAGAATCTTGAGGCATGGAATCTGAGATGGTAGTGCATGAAGGCGGGTGCCACTGCAAGAATGTAAGGTGGCAAGTGAAGGCGCCTTGCGGTGTTGTGGCTTGGAGTTGCAACTGCTCAAATTGCTTTATGAGGGGTAACACCCATTTCATTGTCCCTGCTGAAAGATTTCAACTTTTGAGTGATTCTGAGCAGTTTCTTACAACTTACAGCTTCGGTACTCATACGGCAAAGCACACATTCTGTAAAGTTTGTGGGATAACTTCGTTCTATTATCCACGCTCAAACCCTGATGGGGTCGCCATCACATTTAGGTGTGTTGATCCTGGAACACTCGCCCATGTTGAGATTAAGTATTACGATGGGCAAAATTGGGAAGCCTCGCACAGTCAATCAGGCATTGCGTCGTTGTCAAAAGTGCAGACTCTACAAAATATAGGTTGACTTAAGTTGTGTGATTTTGAAGTGTTAAGCAAAGTCGTCGTGTGTTTAGGACCTCTGGGGATTTTTACAATGTTTATGTGGATTGTGGATGCATCATTGTATGTTGGCTTCTTTCTTGTGTTGTATTTATCTCCCCTTTTGTTTTGTTCTTGTGTTTCTTTTGTTTAGGCCAAACTATAATTTTGGTCCTTGTAATTGTAGTGAACACCACTTTTGTCCTTGCAGCTTCAAATGTTGCAAATGATTTTCATAAGCTTTCAAACTGTCTCGTGGTCCACTACGAATCAATACTAATATTGTTTCTAATTTGAGAAATGTTGAGGAGACTCTCATAAAATTGAAACTCTCTATTGACTCTATCTAATAGGTGCGCGATTTTAGACAAAATGTTTTAATGCAATTAACAATAAATCATTGAGAATAAGGATGATTTAATTTCATCATGCCCTCTTATGTGAGGCTAGACAACTCCACATTAGTAATCCTTGGTTTGGGTTTTAGCCAAGTCAGTTGGGTTTCATTGAAACCTGTGAGTTTTAGCTTGAGAGTTGGGGGTTGCGGCTTTCATTAGGGCAATTGCCATTGCATATGATACGATTTTGTTTTAGCAATTTCCATTACATGAAACTAAACATATTAAAATCAGTACCAATCCCGTCACCGATCGCCTTTTTGTACTTATATTCAGGCTAGTCAGAACTATCATCGGAAAGAAAAAAATGCAATGCTGAGGTTTCTTTATATGTTATGGAAAGTGGCTTCCGTTGAAGAAAAAAGGATCTACTGTAACTTGGTAGTTACTCATCTGTTACAACATCCTTGACCGATACAAATGAAATTCTGTTTTTATGATCTTAAACTCGAGGAGAAAAAAGGAACTTCTCTATGTCTTTCCTTCCATGTCTGCCTTTTTGATATTAGGATCGGTCATTAGGAGAAAGAAACCATTCAACTTAGAAAGCACGAGAAAATATGTCCGCGCGTTGCTGCGAGACTTGAATGCACCAATCTTAACTGCATGAATAAATTAAGACACATGCACCATGCACTCGTCTCTCACAGAGATAAACAAAGATACCAAAAACAGAGAAACTAAATCTTAAATTAATAGAGTTGTTCAATTATATTAAACTACGGAGGGGGAAAGAGAGAAAAGAGAGACCTGGATACCTCCATCGTGTAATAAAAGATGACAAATTCTATCACCAAGGAGAACAAACTTTTTCAAATGCGCTCGCGCACACACACACCCTAAAAGTAAGAGTGTAAAATCTATGCTAAAATAAACAACTAAGTATGAGCAGGACCTCGTAAAAAGTAGGTGATCATATGTGTTCTTCAACTTTCTGTCGAACCTGCAATCAATGAAAGTGATCCACCGTGAAAAACATGGTTAACCACCATGTATTGAAGCTATATATAACCATTGAAGAAAAACCTTTTACATCCAGCACAAAGCAAACTATAATCGAAATTTCAACAAATCAAAATAACATGCAGATAAATAAATAGAAAAAAATAGTCGAAATTTCTTTTATGTCCAGCAACGGAACCATTAGAGATTGTGTAGAAACAATGCAGTAAAAACCACCAGAGAATGGGGATAAACAAAATAGTAATACACACATACCTATCAGGATAGTAAAACGAAAACAACTAAACATGTAAATTCAAATGTCATTCGGAACATGCTAAAAGTAAAAATTAAATTGCATAGATTGGCATCTAGATTTACCTTTAAAATGGCCTGTGATATGTCATTAATAAAAGCCCTGAATTCTTGGTTCACTCCGCTAAATTGGTAGGAGCTTTTGCTTTATCCATCAGAACCTTAAAACAAAACCTATAATAGTATGATAAGCGATGAAGATCTGGTAAGTTTATTAGACATTGTTTCAAATACAAATTGAGACTTGTGGGAAAAAAGAGAAAGAATCAAATATCATATTATATTCTGACAATACTCTGAGATGGTATGAAGCCACCTCATCTAATTTTATGACAAAATGGGTGAGACTCGTTAAAGAAACTCAATAATGGGTAGAATGTTTAAATCTATCTGATGAAAGAAGTGATAATGTTGTAGTTATTTTATCAGGAGGCGTTAAAACCATGAATCAAGAGGATTATAGACCAGGGATTTCAAATATCCAAGGTCTGTTAATCTAATCACCCAATAAAATAAAACAAAGATTAAGCATAACAATATCAAAATTAAAATGAAGGAATAATATGAAATCTTGTGCATAGAACGTTCGTGAGAATGAATCACACAACAATCAAGGGTGGACAAATCACAAAAGTGACAATTAAAGGGCACCCAACGGACACCCCCATCTCTCTCTCTGCAATCGTAGAAATCCCTCGGGTTTGAGGAAGCAAATGGAAAACGAAATGTTTTTCCATCCCCTACCCATACCCATACCTCCCTTACCCGTTCCCTTTACCCTCGCAGAAAATCCTCCCATCTCTCTCTCACCCTTGTCCGATCTCTCTATCTGCAAATCGCAGAAAAAGAAACCCTAAACAAATCGCTGAAATCCCTCACCTAAATTCTCCCACATTTCTCTCGGACACCCCTATCTCTCGCTCTCTCTGCAAAACCTAAACCAGATCTCCTAAATCATATCTCAAACACCCACAAACAGCAAAGAAGCCAAGATATTAAAGCAATCTCTACATAATACTTTGGAACAATGAAGCAAAATGGTACTTACTTGTTCCTTGTCCATAACCGTTGGTGCCGCCACACATTGTTATCAATTGTGGGTTTATCAAATCCTTCATGGCTTAAGACTGCATGAAGAATTAGAAACTAAAAGATGAATATATGCAGTAAATCATCATATAAATGTAACTGCATTAAAAAAAAAAAAAAAGAAGGGAATGAAAAAATTGAATTCTATTTCATCAGTATGTAACTGCATCAAAAGTTACATTGAATGCAAAGTCAATCAATTTCCCCAAAATCATTGTTAACTTAAAATCAATACCAAACCCATAAATACTACCATTGTGGCAAAACCCAAAAACAAAGTACAAAAATTTACTCATATAATCACAGAAAAACATGAAACTTGAGCACCCATTTTGTCAAGTTAAAGGATAAAGGCACTCACATCATCATAGTACTCTTTGGGAAGATCTTCTAATTCTGGTTCTTCGTTTTTCTTGCTCTTCCTCAGAACTGCCATAAAAAACCCAGAGAAGCACACAAATTCAGAAAAGAAAAGGTTGAAAACTACCATAAAAAAATCCAGAAAGCATACAAATTTATTAGAAAGAAAAGTTCAAATTACAAAAACCAACTGATGTGAGTGAGTAGTGAGAGGATGTGTTAGGCACCTGAAACACGTTTTGGTTTCAATTAAGAGGGCCAGAGCCTTGCATGCGAGGAAGATGACGATAGGATTCCAGAGAAAGAGAAAGGAGGAGTAAGACGACGTAGGTGAGAGAAGGGAGACGGCGGCGAGAGGAGGATAGGACAGAGGCGAGACCGTTTGTGGTGCGACACACAATGGGTTTCACAGCTATTAATCAAAATACGCAACATGAAATCTTGTTTGATCACTGCACCAGAGTTTCTGCTTGTCTGCAAAATTTGCAAAATTGGCAAAATTGGCACACAGGTTCACAACTCCTCGTCTTCCCTTTATCAATGGCTCCTTTAAATATCCAAATGATCAAGGTCGATCGTGCTCGCAAAATACTTGATGAGCTCCTTTTGGTAATCCACCTAAAACAAATAAGCACAATATCTATGTAAACTGGCATTTCACTCAATTATACATTAGTTATGGCATCTTTGGAACTAAATGACTTCAACCTTAATATCCTATAAGCTGTATGTTTCTATATTTTAAATCCTGTTATGATAACAGGTAAATATAGATGATACAAAATTAATTTAATTCCATCATGCATAAAGGTGCAACCTCCAACTTAAGCTTCATATATTTCTTTTAATTTTAATGAGTAAAACTCTATTCATGTTATCATCAACATCTCACAGAGCGAAGCAACATATTGGAAATGCGTATCCGATTAACAGCCCTTTCATTCAAGTAATTAAATAAATCCATAACATGGATTAGAAAAATGGGCAAACAACTGAAAAACCTGTCATTTACTTGCAAAACTCCTGCCTAACCCCACAATCTTTGCAATTAAATATAAACTAACACTTCCTCACACTTCCTCAGTGGGCTCTCTTTGTATAAAAATATACACTATCATTTAAAACCTGAAATGTAGAATTTGATGCCAATAACAAATCCTCAGCATCCACGCTATACAATATAGTAACTAATGAACTTACTATTGTGTTGGAAAACACAAACTCTAGCTCCAGATCCTCTTGTGCCATTGACAATGGAGCTGTGGTTCAAAGAATCGCTAACAATCAACCCTCCCTGTAAAGTCAAATGGCACATATTCAGATAAGGAATGTAAACACAAAATTAGAAGTCAAGTCATACACTTGAGAAAAGATGCAAACCTTCCCCATCAGAACAGGAAGGATAGCAGAGCTTGTGACATAACCCATTCCGAAAATTATAGCAGCAGCTTTCCCAACAAAATTTGCAACACACTTTTCCAGCTCATTATGCAAATCTGTGGTGCCTGATGATAGAAGCGTATCATGGTAAATTTATTTAGAAAAATAGTTAAAACAAAATTTCCTTGCAAAGTAGTATTAGTATACCAACTGCCGTCAACTCGGCTACTACAGGTACTGGGAGAATATTTTTTCAATGTCTCAATAGCGTGAGGTGTGCAGTACTCATCAGATGCAGCAAAGCCAAGGTAATTGTAAGATCCCAAGTTAAGGTATCTACTAGTTTTTTTGGTTAGCCTGCATCAGCCGAGTTACACAATGAGAATATAAATCAAGAAAACATAACAGAAGGCGTGAAATATACATGAAATTGCGAAATTGGAGGAAATTTGTAATCGTTGCTCGATTGTTTTGTTGTAGTCATTGGAGTAGCATTCAACCACATCAAACCAAGCATGAGGAGCACTTGCAATAGGCCTATTGAAACAGTACTGACCGGTCAAAACTTTAAAAAATTAACCAGAGTTATCAATAATTATGTTTATGGGACTCCATGGAATTCAAGCTAAATTGCAGGGCTAGCTGCATCCATTTCATACAGCTCAAGAAATATAACACAATCAAATCAATGACAAAATACCTGAATTCGAAGATAAGGCCAGCGAATGTAGAAATCTTCAAGTCCTAAACAGATTGGAGCATAACCCTGATTTTTGCAACAAAGCAATGCTTTTTTTTTTTACATAAAATTACAGGAAAAACTAAACAATAGAAACAAAATTATGTACAATGATTATGGAACCTGCAAATTGCTAGCACTCCACCAGTTGATGATTTTGCGGAAGAAATATATGACTTGGCCAAAAACGAAGAGCAATCCATAGCTGAAGTACGTGGTTAACGCAGTTAAATAAGGGATCGCAATAATTTTTACTGTGGGACGATTGTATGATCCGAAAGCTCGAGGATTTGGGAATTATTGCCTCTGCCACATTTTCTTGCAATGAAATTAACAATTGTAACAAAAATCAGATATTTCGATTGAAGGTAAGATTCTAGCATTTTCTCTGTGTCACAATCATGCAGATCTTTTACCTCAATCGAATCAAATCCAACACCAACCCATCATAGCTCGATGATCACTCAGAACACTGAACGCAAAAATCAACAAAATTTCACCATTTTAAATTATAATTCGTTTCATATTCTTTAATCCACTAAAAAAGCAAAAAATTAAATTGAAAGTGAACCTGGTGGTCGTGGGTGTCGTCGCCGATGAGGAGGTCGATGGGATTGATTTTTAGCTTTTTCATTGAAAAGCTGGCTTTCTTCTTTTCCTTGTGAATCAGATTCTATTACGTGTAGGTCTTCTTATTTTTGTTTCTTCAAAACTTTGTTCAGCATTCGGCTGAGGAGAGGGGAAATGGTTCAGAGCGAGGTGTCTCCATTGTTGTGACCCTGTCCATTGAACTGGCTGCAGTTGCTTTTAAGCTTCTCCCTCACTCCCTCGCTCGCTTCCTCCCTCCCTCCTCTCTGCAAGTCGCATGCCTTCCCTTCACCAAACCCGTCTCTGTCTCCCTCCCCTCCCTCCTTCCCTTTCTCTCCTCTTCTCTGAGCATGGCGTCCCACCAAATCTCACACTGAGCCATCGATCCCACCGAATGCAACCCTAACTGACAACAATGCCCACCCAACTTTTACCCCCAACCGTGCGATGTAACCCTAGACGGGCATTCCCGTCATTCGAACCGATGACGTCTTCATAAAAAGCTAAAAGCATCTGAGCGGCAATCTTGTAAATAAACTGAAATGTGGTCCAAAACACAATTCATATGAATAGTGCAAATTCCACTCCTACTTTAGACTAAAGTAATGCTAACAAGATATTTATCGATACTCTTATCCTGGGATTTGTATGAGCTTTTCACTTCATTTTCCATTAATGTTGAAGGTTGACAGGATTTCCCTTTTTATCTTCCATTGCTCATCCTTCCTCTTTCTCTCTTTCGTTTCTAAGATTGCATCTTTGTTTGGGTCATTGGATGCATTTCCGGAATCAATTGGCCATAGACAAATGGATGGAGTAACTGCCCATTTCTAGGGATGGGTAAATACCCATTGGTTATAAGTAACCGCGGTTACCCGTCCATTTAAATTAAACCGTTACGGTTATGGATAACCGTTTAGATAAATAAACGGTTATGGGTATAACCATTTACCCGTGAAATTTAAATGAGCGGTTATAAGTATTAACCGCAGTTATAAACGGGTAATCGTTTACCCATTTATTTTATATATGTAAAATTAACACAAACCATATTTTTGATCCAATAATACTTAGCACCCAATAAATTAGCAAGGAATTCATCGGTCATTCTCTCAATAACATTGCTAAAGGAATGATGATTCTTATCATCAAGGAATTCGCCAAATTAATTTAAATTCTTTGCGGGTAACCGTGAAATTGACATAAATGTTTTGATAGAAATGTCTTCTAAACAATTTTTGTAACCCAATAATACTTAGCAAATATTATATTTACCTTCATTGGTAATAGTTAAAAATATCGTCCGTAAGTATTATTTCAATTATTGGAATGGTATAAGGACTTAAAAAATTAAAATACGGAAATGTATGATGAATGTACCTATAACTGTGTTTAATTGTCAAAAAAGAAAAGAAAATTATGACAATTTTTTTTAATTTTCAAGTTGTTAAAAAACATGTAGACGGGTGAAAAAGGGGTAATGGTAAAAAAAAAAGGATAAACGGGGTTAAAAAGGGTAAATGAGTAAACGGGTATTAAACAGTTACGATTAAATGGATATGCGGTTATGGGTATGGTTAACCGTTTATAAACGGTTATATGTATGGGTATAAGGCAATTGCCCAACGAGTAAATGGTTATGTGAGTATGAGCATAAACGGTTATGGGTATATAACCACGGTTACCCGCCGGTCATAACCGTTGCCCATCCCTACCCATTTCATTGTAAGGTAGTATGCACTTGCAAGAACATGGTTCATGAACCGTAGACGAGTCGCTTGGTTCAACAATTTGTCCGTTTGATTGTACGGTAGTATGCAAGCACATGGTTCATGAAGCATGGATGGAGTCACTTTTGGTTTTGGGTTGGTATATAAGTAGCTGTTCAAATATGGCCTTATGTTGTAGCAATGTGGATTTGATAAGTCAGAGTTGAGGTCAAGGTGTTTGGGCGAGGCCCTTGAGGGACTCGGGTGATCGTATGATAAAGTACATTATAGAAACCACCATAAAATTACGGGTGTTTGCTAGAAATGTCAATTGTCCTGTTTTTTAAACCTTTAAAGTTGATCCATGTTAAATTGTTGGGTAAATTACATAGTAGTCCCTCATGTTTGAGCTCTATTGCAATCTCATACAACATCTTTAAAACATTTCACTTTCATACCTCAAGTACTATTTTATTTCAATTTCATACAACCGTTAGATTTTCCATCCATGGATCTGTTAAATGCTGACGTGGCTGCCACATATATGACACGTGGCTGCCAAATGTCTGCCACGTGGCAAATAAAATAATTTTTTAATTTTTTTTAAAAAAAAAACATATTTGTCACTTTTTTTTTTCTCTTTCTTCTTCTTCTGGGTTCGGACCTTTTTTTTTTTTTTTTTTTTTTTTCTTCTTCTTCTTCTTCTCCCTCCTCCTCCTCTTTCTTCTTCTCTTCTTCTTCTTCCTCCTTTTTCTGGGTTCGGTCCCTTTTTTTTTTTTTTTTCTTCTTCTTCTTCTTCTTCTTCCTCCTTCTTCTGGGTTCGGACCCCTTTCTTTTTTCTTTTTTTTTTCTTCTTCTTCTTCTTTCTCCTCCCCTCCTCTTTCTTCTTCTTCTTCTCTTTCTCTTTCTTCTTCTTCTGGGTTCGGACCTTTTTTTTTTTTTTCTTCCAATTTCAGGTTTTTAAAAAAAAAATTAAAAAATTATTTTATTTGCCACGTGGCAGACATTTGGCAGCCACGTGTCATATATGTGGCAGCCACGTCAGCATTTAACAGATCCATGGATGGAAAATCTAACGGTTGTATGAAATTGAAATAAAATAGTACTTGAGGTATGAAAGTGAAATGTTTTAAAGATGTTGTATGAGATTGCAATAGAGCTCAAACCTGAGGGGCTACTATGTAATTTACCCTAAATTGTTTGTATCTTATTTAAAGTGAAGAAGGACGAAAGAAGAAATTTAACTGGAGGAAACTAGAATAAGATCAACTTGAATGAAATGGAAGTTGCATTTGCGGATTTGGGTTCCGCTGTTGACCCTAAAAACTACCAAGCCTACGTGGCGCGCAAACCGAGTAATTAGTAAGCTAACTACGTCTTTCGGTTGTATGCGGGGCATGCCAACTCGTCGGCCGAGCTCGGCCAAGGAGTAAAATTTGTCGATGTTGCGTTGGATGCGCTGCTAACTTCTTGATCTTGCGATTGCGGCTATGGAAGGAACACGTCTTGGCCTTTGGGTTCTAGAGCTTGAAGACAAGGCTGCTAGTTCTGCGAAGTTCAATATCAAATTCGGCTTTCAATGTGCCGAATGTAATAACTTGTAACACCTCACTTCACTGAAAAGGCTAATGAGATGACCTATGCCAATAAGGATTCGAAAATCCTTCTCGATCGAGACTTGGATAGATAACCAGTCGGTCTCGACGCAGTGCTATTTATCCAAACTGAAGGTGCTTCGCGGTCGGTTGATTTTACGGCAACAGTACTGTTTATCCAAATTGAAGATGTGTCGGCGAAAAAGAAAATAAAAAAATCTCAAAGTTGTTGAAAGGGTTTGCGCAGGGCAGTTTTGTGTGTTGAATTGGAGGTCCTCTCAAATATTGCACGATGTCTTGTATTTATAGGGTTGGATATCTGCTTGGCACAACCTGATAATATTGTAGAGTCCAGCTGCAACTCAAACTTGCAGAGCAAAAATTGATCCGTGTCAGAGGCCTATCCTTCAGATTGCTATCTGTGGCTTTAAACCTATCTAGGCTTCTAGTCTTATCACATCATAATCAGAACTCCCATCAATACCTTGCTTTATCTCATTAAGACTCCCAATGCAACAAAAGCCTTCTTTTTCCATGACGGATGTCCAAGTGCAACCATACATGTAAATTAAATTATAATTTAATTGCAATATCAGCTAATCACTTAAGATACCATCTTCCATCAAATACCACTTTGTATCAAAATTCCTAATGATGCATGACTCACGTGGCCAAAGCAATATCACACAAAAAAAAACATATTCTCCAGTATCCTATTTTGCATGCCTACCCGATGTGCTCGAGATAACTGTATAGATAATTTTAATTTATCATCTAAGAGATAAATATATGATTAAAAAATCATAATGTTATCCTTTAAATAATAAAAAAAAATTATCTTAGTAAATCCAATAGTTTAGAATTTGCTCATTCAACGATCTCGATCACTCAGGCCGATTGTGTAATTTTGAGTACAAACATCTGCTTACAACAAAATGTGATGTACTTTTTTCTTGGCATTGCAAGTCATAATGCGGGCATTAGAAATTAGAAGAAATAATCATGTTCATTAGTTGGAGAACTAGAATCTTGAGGCATGGAATCTGAGATGGTAGTGCATGAAGGAGGGTGCCACTGCAAGAATGTAAGATTGCGAGTGAAGACGCCTAGCAGTGTTATGGCTTGGAGTTGCAACTGCTCAAACTGCTCTATGAGGGGTAACACCTCTTTCATTGTCCCTGCTGAAAGATTTCAACTTTTGAATGATTCTGAGCAGTTTCTTACCACTTACAACTTCGGTATTCATATGGCAAAGCACACATTCAGTAAAGTTTGTGGGATAACTTCGTTCTATCGTCCACGCTCAAACCCTGATGGGGTCGCCATCACATTTAGGTGTGTTGATCCTGGAACACTCGCCCACATTGAGATTAAGTATTACGACGGGCAAAATTGGGAAGCCTCGCACAGTCAAACAGGCATTGCGTCGCAGTCTAAAGTGCAGACTCTACAAATTATAGGTTGACGCAGTTTAAAGTGCGTCTTACTCTACTCTTTGTCTCTGTCTCTGTCATTCTCTATGTGATTCTGTATTCCGTAATGCCATTTTTTCTTCTAAAAAAAACCTTATTGCAGGTTCCATTTCCATTTCAAATTTTGTGTTATGCTTTGTGCTACGCTTTGTGCTACTAATTCATATCTCCATGCACTTATCGTTAGAATATGAATTAGTGGTACAATACTTATCTCTTATGTAGGTTGATTTTTGTGAGAGTGTCAATTGAATATGCATGATTTTGGAATGAGAGAATCAATGGAACCAAACAGTAGATGTTTTCGCAAACAGCTGGGCTAGGTTATGGAAAATTGTTTAAGCGATGACCGAAACTAAATTATTTTAGAAACTATGGTCAATTTTTTTTGTCATTTCGTTTATTCAGAAGTTACTAACTGGGGGCTGGATTAAGTTTGATAGAAGGGAGTGTATGTAATTGAAGAAATTCAAACAGTACCTTGGGTTGTAATTGCTGAGATTTTTGCTATGATGCAGTTTTGTCCCTAATGGTAATTTGAATTCTGAATTTGAATTATGGGGTTTTTAGGCCGTTTGAAGCTGGACAAGCTCGGGTCCTTTCCATGTTATAGAAACTTTGCTAAGTTACCACATTCAACAAGTGGCAGTCTCCATTTCCAGTTGGTATTTATGTAGTAGTGTTTAATTTGATTATTGGGATGCCAAACTTTAAGAATTTGTGTTTAATTTGATTCTTTGGTATATTGATTATTTGATATGCTTAGTTAATTAGCTAAGAATTGG